TGTCTCAATAGGAAAGGAAGCTGCATTAAAGGCCCAGAATTGCTTGTGAGATGGATGGTGGAGCGGAACAGAAGAGCGTTACGAGAATATGGTGGCGCTCGACAAGTATGGGAGACTTCGTAGCCGAGTTGTGTAGATAACGTTGATGTATAGACTGCTTCCCTGGGTGAGTTCTCTAGCCATCCCGAGATATTCTTTTTTAATAGTAGTTGACCTTAGACCGCGGCGACGGGCAACCTGGATTCCCCAAGGGCATGTGAACCCGTTAGAGCTGGACAGACAGCGATCGCTGAAGCTTTTCAAAGTTGTGTACCTTGTTTGCCGCTCAGGTACGTATCTTTTCTGCCGCTCCGGTACGTATCAATTCTGCCGCTCCGGTACGTATCTTTTCTGCCGCTCTGGTACGTATCTTTCTGCCGCTCCGGTACGTATCTATTCTGCCGCTCCGGTACGTACCTTTTCTGCCACCTAGGTACGGACCTTTTCTGCCGGTGGCGCAGATCGGTAACCCACGTGCTCGAAGCGGGTCTTACTGTCCTGGTGTGTACAGCGATACCGAACACAGCAAGTATGATGCTGTCCAGCAACCACGACGCAAGCGCCGTAGGGTGAGCGCTACAACCCATACAGCTGGAGGAATTGTCCCTCAGCAGCAGATCCGTCCATACTCCGGCGACTCCCCATCGCGAGAGGCTCAGAGATCATCCCGACGCCCAAATCGCCGGCACGGACACGGCATCGGCAATCCGCATCGTCGCAAGGATCTGCCTCGGAAAGGGACATTAAGACGGACAACCCCCCGCAGCAACGTTCGAGGAATTGCCTCTTGGAAGCGCGGTCCTCAAATGCGTTACAATGGACGGTTCGCCACCTACTTTTATGCTGCAGTTTACTTGGGGTCCATGCACAGAAGTTGACAGAACACGCAGCGGGTACCCTGGAATGGAGAATCGAGGCACTGTTTCCTCCGCAAAGAGGCACCGCCCGGCAAGACACAAGAGTAAAGGGATCGCGAAGAACGAGGGCATCACATCAAACGCCATACCGACTTCAACTTCAATAGGGCGAGATACACGCCAGCGGATGACGGGAAGATCCGTCAGCTGAAGGTGCAAGGACTGTCTTGGCCGCGACCGCTGAGTACTTCCCCGGGCGGACTGCCGGGGCCATTGAGGTGAGGTATTACACCAACCTTGAGACCGCCAATCCCTCTCAAAGTGGGTCTCGGCAATTGTATGATCACTCTTGGGGGCAGCCTCCCAAGTCGTTGACGACGCCGCCCAAGTCGTTGACGACGCCGGTGAGGAAGAGTACGAGGTAGAGAAGATCTGTGACCACCAGGGGAAGGACGACGGTGGCGTGAGACCGCTTGTGAGATGGAAAGGCGGAGAGGAGACATGGGAGCCCTACGAGATCGTGGCGGTGCACTTGACGTGTCACGGCACTGGACCGCCGATCCCTAGGTCACGTGGCACATTGCACTTAGCTTCAGGTTCATCCATCCATAGCTTCCTTTCCTCTTCATAGAGCAACGCAGTTATCTTCCCAGACCTACTATGGTTCTGTGACATGACGAGTATGCATGACCACAGGCATATGACATAACCATGAGAACAGGAACGGGGAATCCGTGACAGTGGTCATCTACATTAGGCTGTAGGCGACAGGTAACGTGGAATCCCAATAGCTTATAAGCGTATGTACCCCAAGATGCCATAATTCTAACAGAGGAAGGAATTGTCCAAGATTCCTTAGCGTAATGTCTATTGTGAGGAAAGGTGGTCCGTGCGCCTACTGACCTTCTTGCGCTACAGACGCGCATCCTGTATCTTCTTCTTCCTTTCCTCAGCTTTCGATTAGCAGAATTGAGTAGTATTTGCAGCGCCCTTGTGCCTCGCTATATATTGCTCGTCTCTCACATCTATAGGATTGTTGTGAGCGAAGAGAGAGTCTGAAGGAGGTCTACATTTTCTGCCATTTTTGTAGTACCTTTTTAGCCGTTAGGTACGTACCTTTTCTGCCACTACTATGATAGGTACGTACCCTTTCTGTCTGTTAGGTACGTACTCTTCCTGCCATTAGGTACGTACCTTTTTTGCCATTAGGTACGTACCTTTTCTGCCATTAGTGACGGCACGGCGCACCAGTGCTGGTCACATATCGCGCACATGGGTCACAGAGAGGCTGATTGATTGCGATTATCAGCTTGGCATTTGGCGACGATCACCCATCAGCAGTCAAACGACCCTCTTTGTCACGGTACCAAGTCCGCCCTTCTTAGGTCTGCTGAACCACGTGCCTTCGTGTACGTGGACCCCACACTAGCTGTATCTAGCCTCGGGTAGCTTCCTCTCGCGAGAGCTTCCTCTCTCCTCATCGCACAACATCCTCTCCTTGCACATGACTTAAGTAAGCAAAGCAGTGAATCACTGTGCTGGACTGTGCAGAACATTTGGCCGTGGGAACAGGCACGGTGTAAGCGCCAAGAGGCCCGAAAACGGGTCCCCAGACAATCGAACAGAGAGTAAAAAGCGGAAGCCGATTTCGCTAGAGACTATACAAACCGCTGCAGTCAGACACTTCTTTCACGGTGCTGCAGCCATTCCAGCGCTTAAAGATCCCTCAGCTTCGACGTCAGAATGGCTTCTCGGTCACCTGGCCCTGTTGGCGGACAGAAAGTCACCTTCCACAAGGGACTCTTTCCTGCGGTCATCTCGCTATCGCAAATAGTTCACTTATCCATCGAAACTTGCATGTCATTAGCAGTGACGTCGGTGGTCCGGACTGTCAATGTCTTATATTTGTCTTATAAAGAGCCGACCGGGGCCCACCGCCGTGCTCGCTGGCGAGTATGGCAGTGGGTCTTGTGTTCCATAATCAGAGCCATGACTCCTATTGGCCAATTTTAGCCAACGCGAAGATGTTCTTATGTACACGTGCATATCCCCCCGTTCTCCCGCGTTCTTCCCGTTCCTCTACAACGCTGCTTCCTGCTCTCTTCACGCTGCTCTCTCCTTCATCGATGTTTCAGATAGAACAATCAAGAGATGATTTGCGTCGTGTCCAAGAGGAGTTTAATGTTCTCTCGTCTAAAACTACCTCCCTCATCCGGACCTTATATACTCAACAAGGCGCTCAACCGGCGCTCCGCACCACACAACAACGGACAGCACAGCTTCAAGCTAGAGTTCCCAGTACGGAGACCTTGGAGGGCTTCCTACTCGATGCGGTCCAGAAATATCTTGAAGAACTTGACGAAAAGATTGAGAGCGTATTATCTAGCGTCAGTACATCTCTTAGATTTGACTCGGGTATCGGCAGTATCTCTCCTAGTACTACGTCTCCTAGCACCAACGCTCTCACCCGCGATACCTCGTCTAGCCATGACTCTTTTGTGATCGGCGCTACCGCTCCTCGTACAGAAGCTCCTGCCACAATGTCAACACCTTTCCGGCCAGCGGAAGCCATCCTTGCGACCACTCTCCTCTCGTCGTTGATATCTCTTCTCGTACCGACGCTCCTCCTTACAGCGAAACCCGTCCCAACGCTGACTCGGCCGTCATAGCCCACATCTTCCCCAGCACCAAGCCAGCGTCCAGCGCCTATATAGACAAGAGAAAGGTTTATGACCTATTTTTTATATCTGCCTGAGATCTGGCGTCCCTATGTGTAGGTTCCACCCGCCTCGCCAACTCGGTGTTGGGTTTCCCGAGTCCGTTGGGCTCGTCGAAGGTGAGGCCCCGGCATTCTAAAAGGCCTCGGTAGGCGTAACGGTAGACGGGGCGAACTTGAAGAGAACCCGCTGTCCGTAGCTGAAAAGGATATCACGGCCTATTGAGGCAGGAGGAAGTCGTTTAGGTATACCTGAGACAGTGATCGAGGTGGCCGACCGCCCAATCTAGCCGAACGACCGAGCCGCGCCCCAAAACCGAGCGCGAAAGTCCGCGAAGCGATGTAATCTCTTGAGGATGCGGCCACCACGTCGAGAAGAGCCATAAATAGTGTTACGCGGAGTGCCGCATCGAAAGGAGCACGCGGATCGGGAAGTGGGAGCGGAACCAACGGCCAGGTTGAAGCGGGGAAAACAGCGCTTCAGACGCTCCTAGAGGCAATCAATGAACAGCGAAACGAGACGCGGGACATAATCACCGTGAAAGAAATATGATCTGCGAGCTACGCGACGTGGTCAGCAAGCAGGAAGATCTTCTCCGGGAAATACTTGGAGTTCGTGGTCTTATAAGGAGCCAAAGATACAGAAAGCTAGAGACTTGCCGTTCATTAACTATTTTGCCCTATCCTCGTCTGTAGAGGTTCTGACTAGCCTCCTTTGTCCGCCGGACCTTCTCAGGTGTTTCAAACCTAAGCGCACATCCTGGCGGGGATAAACATGGAAAAGGTTCCATCTTGAAAAAACCGTGCCATAACGGCGTTCTTACACGTCAAGGGCCTCTGTCTCTTCCACGTTCATGTAAGGTTCCCACGTCATCTCTCCATCTTTCCACTTTACAAGGAGTTGCAAGCTGCCGTCATTTAGCAATCTGCGATTACAATCCTATACTACCTCATACTCTTCCTCATGGGTATTTTCAACCACTGAATGCCTTTGAGGATAACCGCAAAACATCCGATCTGGCCTTTGGGAGGAGGTGGTCTTGAGCTTGTTATAATACCTCACCCTGATGGCTCCAGGAGTACGTCCCGGAAGATGCTTGGCAATGTCGAGCTAGGACAGTTCCTGTTTCTTCAGCCGGTGGAGCTCTACATCTTCCCCTGGCGTGTATCTCGCCCTTTTTGAAGTCGAAATTGACGTGGCTTGAACTGCACTCTCCTTGCCCTTAGAGACGGCGTGCTATTTTGTCTTATGACGCGACGCCTCTTGGCTGAAGGGACGGTGGTTTGGTTCTCTCTTTCGTGGTAGCCCGTTCCGGGGTAGGTGAAGTCTCGTAGCTGTACAGATGGCTTGGTGATAGCCTGTTCAGGATGGCTAATGCTGTCATCGTCCGACAGTAATGGTATGCTCGCCTCACTCGTATCGTCACTTCCATCGGTAATTACATTGGTACCCCCGTCTGCTCGGGCGTGTTGGCAGATATGATTACCCCAAGCGTAGGACATTGAGACACAAACCTATACTAGTAATTCGATTGGGTTAGGATTTGTTGTAGGGAACGGCTAGATCGCACACGGCAACGGCTATATAGCACGGCGCTATCCCTGATTCGGCAGGGCTCCCGCGGTGCCCGTGCAGCAGTACAATCGTGAATTTCCTGACAGCTGCAAAGCGGGCCACAAGCCGGCGTCTGCCCAAAGCACACTACAGCAGCCGGCTGCTGCCCCAACTTCCCGCTTCAACTTCCATCCACAACCTGTTACCGCCAGAGATTGTCAGGTATGATTCCTGCCCTTGATGCCATTTGTGAAGCTGATGAAGCTGTTTTCAAACAGAATGGAAGCCATCGAGTCGTCGTCGGAAGCGCCCAGCCGCCCTTGCGGTCCCCCGCCGCCCGAAAGAGTGTACGCCAGTGAGGAGGCCGCCTAGCAAGCCATCCAAGCCCACGCTTCGGTCAACGGCTACAAGATGGTTAGAAATGGCCACAGTTCGGGCCGTGCCCGCTTCCGCTGCGCCAAGGGACGCAAGTACAAGCCTCGCCGGGGGTGATTTGTACGAGCCGGGAACAGCGGCGCCACGCGCAAGCGCGCGCATTATTGACGGATTAGATGTTCTGGATCCCGACTTCGAAGACGACCACGATGCTGCGCTGTCCGTCGCCAACGTTGCCGCCAGCGAGGCTCGCCAGGATGCTGCTAACCCGCAGTAGCTGACAATCGCAAGCAGCTGCATGGAGCACACTGCTAAGCCGTAAATGTGTAGTTCATAGTCAGTACCTTCAAGAATATCACAAAAGCAATGGGAACGAGCTCATGTTATTTGCGTTGACTTCAATTGAACGGATTGATCAAGCCGACGCAGCTTCTGTGCCTCCACTTGGCAGCTGTCAGGAAGTTCACGATTGTACCACTGCACGGGCACCGCGGGAGCCCTGCTGAATCAGGGATAGCGCCGTGCTATATAGCCGTGGCCGTGTGCGATCTAGCCATTCCCTTGTTGTATCATATACGAGCCCACCTACTAAGTCTAGCGGGGACAGAACGAAGTCCCAGCCGCTGACGGAAGCGCTGTAATCAGACTCGCTATTGCCAATCATGACTTCATCGTCCGGCCAATCCCCGGGCTCGCCATGTCGAGGATCTTGTGGATCCTGCAGCGGGGCCGCGTGTGGGAGTTCTGTGGAAGGGGCCTCTAAAGATCCGAGGGAGCTCTGGGCTTGCCGTCATGAAGCGAAACTTAGTGGCAAGGATTTGGTTGTCGGAGCAGAGACTCTCCATTGCATCAGTCAGCGAAGAGCACAGCTAGCCGGATTGAAACAGCTGCCACTGTTTTTCGAGGGGCAGATTAGTTTGGGGCACTACAGGTCCTGAAGTCGAGACCTTATACGCCGGGGCACAGGAGATTCCGCGGAGAAAGGGATGCTTCGCTACCCGCAACATCTTTCGTTGCCCACCCACAAGAGACCTCCTGTCTACTAATCACATAGACGTCTGGACCCCGCAACGGAATCGGCCCCACAATGGAATCCTGGCACCGCACCACCATTCCAGACATGACTAACTTCAACTCAACACAACTCATCCACTTCTGGGCCAAAATCAACATGACCGCTATCCGGGAAGAGCTTATTCAATTGGCTATAGCCGAGGTTCAAGAAGGCCTTTGTTCACAGAAAGATGCAGCGGAAAAGTACAGCATCCCACAGTCTACCCTGAACCGACGGCTTCATGGCGCCCACCCTCGACAACAAGCCAAAATCCACGAACAACGGCTCAGTCCTGTGCAAGAGAGGCATGTAGTCGACTGGTGCCTCAATGAAGAAAAGTCTGGAAGGGCTCCTAGACGCAGCCAGGTGGTGGCTTTCGCGCAGGCCATCTTGGCTGAAGGAGGTGATCATCAGCCCCTGGGTGCTAGATGGATCGACCGCTTTCTACGCCGCCACCATGCTGTCAAAACTAAGAAATCAGCTCTGTTGGAAAGCTCTCGTACGAAAGGCTCTACACGGGACGCTTACCAAGATTTCTATGAGAGGCTGGAGTTCCATATCCGCGATAAGAACATCGTACCCGCGAATATCGCCAACCTTGACGAGCATGGCATGCAGGAGCTCGAAACTACGGCCGGCACAGTCATTGGCAGTTCCCTTACAAACAGGGCTTATACAACTAGCTCTGATACAACTACATGGGTTACTGTCCTTGAGTGTGGCACTGCAGAGGGGGTAAGACTATCGCCAACCGTAGTCTTCACCGGGGCTTCCCTTCAGGGCCAATGGTTTCCTGCTAAAGCTGAACTAGAGGCAGACTTCCCAGATTGGAAGTTTGACTACAGTCTCACTGGCTGGAGCAATAGCCAGATTGCCTTGAAGTGGCTAAAAGAGGTGTATCTGCCACAAACCAAGCCTCAAGGTGACGAGTGGAGGTTACTGGTCCTCGACGAGCATTCCAGTCATACAACCGGCGACTTCATGGCTACAGCTTGGCTAAACAAGGTTCAGTTGGTCCATCTGCCTGCTCACACCTCCCACAAAACACAGCCTCTCGACCGCAGTGTTTTCTCAGCTCTGAAAAACTACTTCCGGCAAGCTACCAAGGCCCTGGCAAGCTTCACAGCATCTGCTGCCGTGAACAAGCGACGGTTCCTCTATTGCTATAGGGATGCATCTAGGCTTGGAATGTCTGCTAGGAATATTATCTCTGGGTTTAGGAACACCGGTATTTGGCCGCTGGATCCATCCAAAGTGCTGGAAGACTCCGAGGCAGTCCTGGAAAGTCAGGCTCTTCCTGCACGGCCGGAAACACCACCCCCTAAGCCTACGACTGAGTTCTGGACACCTCAGAAGAGCCAGGACATCCGTATACACCAGCAGGGTGTAAGGGAAGGCATGGAAGCTGGTGGACGGCTGACAAGGACTCTGTTGGCCAAGGCAGGCAAGGCCCTAGATGCTAAGAACGCTGAGATTGCATCTTTAAAAGCCCAGGTTGACCACTTGACGAAGGAATTGGAGGCTTACGAGCCACAGGGCCGTAAGAAGGTAAAAGAGAATGTCAATGATAAATTTGCGAGGATCGAGGATATTATCCAGGCAAAGGAGGATTCGATGAAGTCCCCGATGAAGAAAAGGAGGAAGACGCGACAGAACAGCCACGCAGTCGAGGAGGCCGAGGAGATAATTGTGTGTAGTTTAGAGACTATTCGCCGGGCCGAAGAGGAGTAGAACCATCAGATTTGTGTGTAGATTGCTTGCAAATTGGATGAGCTAGATGTCTTTTATTAAGGTGGTGATGGTGGTGCCAAAATTCCATTGTGGGGTCGATTCCGCTGTTGGGTCCACACGTCTAAAACAAAAATTGAAAAGCGGAGGCAGATCTCGCTAGTGACTGTACTGTTCTAGTGCTTCAACTCTGTAATGTGTAAGGACTCTTTTTTTGGATTCTAACTACGCATTTTAGTTCGGGGTAGTTGGTTTGTTCGTGACGCAACCCGACAGATTGAATTAAATTGGAGAATCAAATTCGGGTTTTAATCAGGTTAGATGAGGGGTGTGTTTCTAACAAGGGAACAGCGCCTCCGTTTTCAGCAGACAGAAGGGACGGAAAGGCATACAGAGATCCAGTTAAACGTCAGCAAACGGCGGAGCTTCTAACCCCACTTGGACCATTGGCTAAGGGCAACCAGACCATGCCGCCAGTATCGTACAGAATAAAAGCGAGGCGAATGTACAGTAACTGATGCAAGGCTATATTGCCCCAAAGAAATCCTTTATGAGCTGCGGCAAGTCTATGGGGTGTAAAACGCATCGAAGTCCAGGGAGTGGCCTGGGTTTAGCGCAGAACGACCCTCTCATAGTAAAGCAGCATATAGTTTCCTTGGAAACAGCCACATGGCATTCCACATACAACGCTTTATGCCGTGGCAATCTAAGGGTGTTAAAGAGTGTTGAAGGCGGTGACACACGGAGCCAGGAGCTCGTCTCTGGTTATGTCGTAGGCCTCTGCTCCAGTACTTGAGGTCTGATCGCACGCCTATACTTGTCATCTTGCTCTCCTTAGCAATGTGATTATAAGTGCGAGCTAACCTGACCTCGATGCATGCCACATCACCATTACACTCTTTCTTTCGCAAGATCTTGATCTTCGCCACTTCGCTCCCTAAATTGCTTATTGTCACGGCACGGCTGGTTGGGTTGGTTACAGCCTGGCGACAGGTGCAAAGACAGCTTCATAGTGCAGCCAGTGATTCGATCTGTCGGATTGAATCATTTGTACCCTTTTACGGGAACATGGCGCATGTGATGGGCTGAGCCCATGATGGCCTCGGCAACCCTCGGCCGTGGTATCATGATAACGTCATCCTGAAGCAGGCAGTGTCTGTGTGTTCCGGAGCATATAAGAGCTGCCCTCTCTTCCTGTCATCTAGTTCTCTCTTTTCTTCTTCTCTCTCCATTCGAGACAAACTCGTAGAGTCGTCACCAGCTAGTTGCAATATACTCCTGGGACCGTTACGCGCAACGGTATGGCTGCACGTTGTGTGCCGTGACACTTATCAGTTCCCTCTATGGTTCTCTCGATCATTCCTTTCCCGCACCATTGCTCAACCGGCGCGTATCGTCACAGTCAAAGCGTGTATATTGAGCAGGCTATATGGAGGACTCTGCCGAGTATACCCAGAGTTGGAGAGGAGAAGAAGGTGACAGCAGAATCCTGTGGTACTGGAAGGATACTTTGTATACCCAGTAGACGCCATGCTCATCGGTGGGCGCGCTGCAGGTAGGTCTGCAGACTCCACGTAGGCTTGCTATCGCTGAGGGCTTCCGAGGCCTCTACCGGGCTCTGCCTCTCACATGTTCTTTTTTATCTACGGGGTAGACGCTAATGTCAGATCAGGATATAGAATCTAACACTTCGCAGGGCTATCTTCAAGGCCACGAACTATGTACGATACAGTCGACTCGGGGTAGTTTTATTACTTCAGGTTGCAAATATCTTGTAACTAACTAATGCTAAGTATCCGTTCTACTGCATGGCACTAGGTTACTCTCCAGTGATATACTATCCTCCTATGGGATCAAAATCAGTAGACACTTGCTTGGTCACCTCTGTCGCTGACGACCTCTGATTTCGTCGCTCAATGTCAGCTGGCGTTTTCCTGACCGGTACAGGGTAGGTTCTTTCCTATACTATAGTAAGCCACTGAGCCAGCGGGCCTTAACGTGTTTGTGTCCATACGATCTCTGCGGATGACAATGGAAAGGAAGGTGTCACGGCGATTGCGCCGTGCCTGCTAGGACCCACGGGTGGAACCCGGCATGTGGACAGCACGGGCCCCTGTGGGTTAAATATTCTGCACCTCGCTGCCGCGACATCTGTTCGTAGCTCCTCGAGCTACGTCTTGACAATCAAGCCTGCCCGTACCTGACGGAATAGAGCTTAGCCTGTAGTTTAGCCCGAATACAATTGTCATTGGATTGTCCGCCTGTCCCGCCGTGACAGGATGGATGGATTTGATTTCGCCCGGAGGCACTAAGCCTAAAGGGCCTTGGCACGCTAAATACATACATACGATTCGTCCGCTTCTCCCATGATCTCGCACAAGCCCTTTGAGTTGCCCTTTGCGCAAAGCTTCCCAATACCTCTTGCCTCTTCTCTTGCCTTGATTGTTAGCAGATCGTCTTGGAGGTTACGTTCTCCAAGTGTTCAGCGTCCCATCTTCAGCAGCTAAAGCGGGATCTGCTGGTTGAGGCTGTGTGGTGTTAGTGTAGTGTCCCCCCTACTGTGACTGATTCAGTCCTTGCCTTGCTCGCCATCCGCATCCAATCTCCCCGTCGCCATTGCGTATTTGATTGTCTCTCGGACCGCTTTCATGTCCTCGCCTGGTCGCTGAGCAATGCAGCATGCCTTCTCTCAGATCGATCCATCTCACGCATCGGAACAGAAAGTGGTCCACTGTTTCCCTCGCATGTCCACAGGCACAAATATCTGACTCGACCGCTCCAATCCTGCTCAGAAAGCCGTTCAGCCTCGCCATTCCGGTTCGGAGTTGTGCCAAGATACAGGCCTCTCTTCGCTTCAGCTTATCATAGAGGTCGCGAGTGTGCTTGCCAGGTAGTGCCACGTCCATAGCCTTTGAGAACTTGCCCACGCCTTCAGGAAGAGCTCTCTCCTGTCGCTGTTTCGCCAGTGCCAGCCTGATTGCGGTGGACTTGGCCTGGGGCATTTGGAGGTTGGGTGTGCCTCCTTGCCTTGCAGCTCTTTGCGCCGCCGCCTTGGCCTCCAACCCCAACGCGAAGTTGGCTTCTGCTGGTATCCACAGGAAGTCAACCGAGTTTCCTCTCCGTCGATGCAGCCTTGCTAACTCGTATATTTGCCGTATGATGCCTTAGCCGGACTGTTGTCGTGGTTGTCTGATCGCTGCCAGCGCCGACTGGTTCCTGGTAACGATGGTGATGTGCCTGTGGCAAACGCCGGCTGGCAGGCTCTCCAAGGCCTTTGCGATGGCCTTAGAGTCGCTAGATTGTTCTCCCTACGAACTAGCTAACTAGCTGCACAGACCTGCCTCGTAGGGCAACCTAGTCAGAGAGGCAAGGCCAGACCTCCCTACCGGACCTCTTCGGCCACGGGACCCTAAGGTTTGCACCTTAAGCCCTCCGCAAGAGGCAAAACCTTACAGAGCTTCGTAGGCGACACCACAGCAGCCTGCGCAGGGCTGGGGCCCGGGTGCGAGCCGGGTACTTGGCATCTGCAAAGCCCCCTCTCTCTTGGAGAACCGACACGCGCGTCCGTCCTCTCCGGCCAGCTACACTGCTCCTCG